CTCTGGTGAAGTGGAAAGTTCAAGCTCATGCCAAGTCATCTTCACTTTTCAGAGCTCAGGAAGCTTGAAACTTGAAGCAGTTGATCCGTTCATTGGCACCAGTTGGCGCACCGCTTATCTTAAATCGATACAAACTAGATAACTGACCCACCACATTACAAGATCCTCCCAACTCTGCCTAGTGATCTGGTAAATGTAATCTCCCTCACTCTAGAAAATTTGATATATTTATTAAATTCTTTTAGAAGAAATAAAAAGTGGATGTTTCTTACTTCCCTTTCCTTATGTTGTTATGCTTTTTGCCTTGCATGTTCTTTCATGAGTGAGACTTGAAATATTCATTATTAGCCAGAGTTTGTTCCCATTTCCATACATTTATGATTTAGTTGGTTCTTCACAGCAAAGCTGTAAGGGCGTAAAAATATATATGTTTTTTCCATAACCTTGTGCTCCTCGGAATGAGGTAGATTGTTTTCAATCATGAAAGTATGCATTTAATTTGTTTTCTTATTTGCACATCTTTGTTTTTCTGGAAATTACTTCTTATGGCTATGGCTAATTTAGGTGCCCCAAATTTCTTATTGATATGTGAAGAAGGAACTGTAATTGTTTCAACCTTTCAGTTTGTTTTATCTCCCTTTTCTAGTACATAGTTCAGGTTTTTTTGGTGGTTCACTTGCTCTGCTCTTATATTCTCATTTCTATATTTCCTTTTTTAGGTTGACGTCGCGTAGGAACAATTTTCTACATTTTGTGATCTTCTTTCTGTTGAGCTGGAAGTTTTAGAACCTCAAGATTGTCATAATCGCTCAAAGGTGCTAAATACATCTTCTAGGGTATCTTTTCGATCACGCTGGTTTGCTGAAAGAGCATATTTAAATGGTAAATGCTGCAAGACCAAACTATGCATTTTATGTGGTTGCAATCCAGTAATTCTTCAAAGGATATAGGTGTTGGAGAAAATTTCACTCCAGCTTCAAAGCAGTCTTCAGATGTTAATGGGCAATCCATTACAAACAGTTGTCTGGATGGTTCCCACGAAGGAAGTGGGGCAGGGAATGGTGAACCTGAAAATCACGAAAGAGGATAAAAAGAATGAAGATCTAAGTCAAGCTCAATTCTGCATCTAGTTAACAGTTGACTCAATTCGATTGATCATGATGAATTTCAAATTTCAGAGTCATACAGCGAGCTAAACTTTAAATCTTTTATATATAATGTCAGGAGTTTTAGTTTCACATTATCTACAAATGTAAAGAGAAATTTTTTATTTTATAACATAGACGGATCATTCTTGTTAGTCAGTGGATGCTCATTAGACCATGGGCAGAGCTATGACATGGCATGGTTGGTCAGATGACCAATCTTCATAGAATTTTTTTCGAATATATATACTAAATATCAATTTTTTAGATATATATTAATAATTGAACAACATTGACACAATAAAGGTTGACAGCCCAATGGTTAAGGTTGTGTATAAGTACCAATGCATCCTGGGTTTGAGCCCCATTATCGCATTTTTATTTTCCATAATTCTGTTTTTTCTCTTAGAAAAAGCAAAACTCAGCCTTTGTTTGATCCCAGGCTTAAACATTTTATTTTTTTAAATATTAGCGTTTTTAAGTTAATAAAACTAAAAGAAAATAAAAGGTCTATTTTTGGCTTTTCTTAATTTTAAGAAAAGAAAAGATTCAGAGTGTGTTTGGTATGAAGGAAAACATTTTCTGTAAAATGTTTTCCAATTTTCTCATGTTTGGTTTGGGCAAAAGTTTTGGAAAATGTTTTCCAAATCAACTCATTTTGCTCAAAATTAAGGAAAATGACTTCCCTTCAAAAATTAAGGAAAACATTTTCCAAAGCTCTCCTCCAATTTCAAATTACATTTTTTTTTTGGAAAAAAAATCAATTTAAAAAAAAAACAGTTTCAAAATATTATTTTTTCACCGGATCCCTGACCACCCTCCCCCCTAACCCCCCTCTTCAAAAAATTATTTTTGCTTTTAAAAATATTTTCAACTTTAAATTTTTATTTTTAAACTCCTACCTCCCCCTGGCTAGCCCCCGTACCCCCCCCCCCCCTTCTCCCCCACCCCCAACCCCTAAAAAAGTTAATTTTGATTTTTAAAAATACTATCAACTTCAAATTTTTATTTTTTCTCTCCTACCCACTCCCCCCTGCCCCCACCCCCACTATCCCCCACACCCCCACCACCACTACCCAAAAAAAGTTATTTTAAAAAAATATTTTCAGTTTTATAAACTATTTTCTACTCTAGTAAAACTAAAAGATGTTCTTCAAAAATATTTTTCATTCATAAATTAAACACTAAAAATTATTTTCGAAAAAATATTTTCTACACACCAACCAAACATGAGAAAATAAGTCAAAATCTACATGTTTTCCAGGAAAACATTTGCTAGGAAGACATTTTCCATGAAAAACATTTTCCTTTATACCAAACACACCCTCATAGTTGTTGTCTTTTCCTTTTAATTTGTTGTCTTCTTCTTTTCCCAAAAACTCTTTACAATTTTAACTTTACCTTTCTCTCTTCTAAACTTTCATACATATTGGCAAGTTATAAGAAATTTGAAGCTTTAATCATTGTATATTTCATCCTCAACCGCCATTGAACTGTGATTTGTGAAAAGGTATTTCTTAATTCTTTTTTTCCTTTAGCTTATTTTGTCTCATCATGTGTTGTAAGCTTTAAGGGGAATTTTTAACTCTAATATTGAACAAGTAAAGAGTATGAACAACTTGGAGACTATGTAGAAATCAATAATTGAGGTATGACTATTTTGAAGCCAATCTTTATAATCTAACTAGCAAGGCTTATTTTTTTCACTTGTCCTACAAAAATGAATACCCTTAGCAAAAATACTGGCTCTGCCATTGCATTAAATCATAGACGGGTCATTCTTGTTAGTCACTGAATGCTTAGACAGCGCCACCATTCTTCAGGGTATTTTATTTATTTCAAGTGACTTCCTTTATTTATACAGGCTTTGCAGCGTTCGATCAGAATTTACGTTCCTGTTGTCCTTTATTTACTACGAGTGTCTTGAATAATTTCGATGTCTCCTAAGAAAGGGTGGCTCAACTCTAGAGCCACTAAAGCAATGACTTATTTTGTATAATCTTTTTGATAATTAGTACAACTAACATTTATCTATCTCTTATCATTTTCTTTGTGAACTGCGTCTTCTTGTAATTGTTTTGCGTGTTGTGGTCAAGTTAAACCATGGCAGCAATACAATTCACCAAAACTGCTACCTTAGTTTTGGCAGGATCAGTATGTGGTGAGTGTCCATGCTATTCGAGTATTTCTTCTCTTCTATTGTTTGTTGATCTATTGACTTTAACTTTTGCTAAAAGATCTTGACATGCTACAGTAATCTATAAGCTTCTTCTTCTTTATACTGTTGAACTGTTTCTGAAAGTTTGTTTACTTTTGCAACCTCCAGATACATCCAAAATTCATAATTGTATACCTGATGAACACTATGGCCAAACTCTACTTGCTGTAAGTTGTTTTTTGTGATCTAAACATGTCTTGACAACTTGATTCTTTCCTCTAAGATATTACTGATTTCACTTCAAACAATGATATTCTGTCAACGAAAGTTCCTTTGCGTGGACCATTGGTAGCATAACATAATCCATACTGATTGACAATACATTTTACCATTTCATGACCTGGTTGAGTACATCTAGTTCAATTGCTTATGATTATATTTGACTCGGCTATCTTAATCCTCCTCGCTATTCATGTCAGATTTTTTAAGCCTGTCTAAGTCCAATATTTATTCAAAAAATAAGATTACCTCATCTTGCACTGTTAGTTGAGTTCAGCTAGTTATAAACTCGTGTAGGTTTGTTTCAAGTTTGTTGTATTATTATATCTTACTAATAAGTTGGGTAATTACTAACTAGAAAAGTTATTGATGGACGGAATTTCAATAGTGCAAGAGGCAACGAAGCATAATTGTTCTATATGTAACCTAAGTTTTCATTTGATACCATAGAATCAACCTTTATCTCTTTTTTATTTCATTTTTTGAGAAGCTTTTCATTTAACATAGCATGTAGGACTTGAATGTGAAATTACATGGAGGACAGTGACTCACACTGCATGGGTTATTTTGTCTTCCAAGGAGCATCACGGAAAGGATGATAAATTATCCAATGTCACTCCCATGCTAATCTAATTTATCAAGTACTCTTTGTTCTTTTCAATAAGCACATTAGTAGATTATCCAGGTCTACTAGAATGAAACTCGGTGATCATTTGGGGGGAAATATTTCAGAAAATTACATAAACCGTATATCAATAAGAGGAGAAGATGTTGAAATAGTAATCCCACTCAGCAATTCACCTCCTGTTTGTCAGTAACTAAAATTGGCATGATTGTCTTACTATATGACCCTGAATTATCCAGTGTAAAATGATGAGTATGCACACACCTTAGAATCTATTTGGTTTTGACAAGGCATAGACAATATAAATTATGAAATAGAACGCCAGAGAGAGTGGTGCACCAAGAAGGAGAAACATGCCCCTTGTTTCCTTTTTTTCAAGGAAATTCATGTTGGGTATGTAGCAATAATTTACGGGATATAGAGGGAAAGAGAGAAACTTGAAAAGTTGAGAACTTGAAGAGTGGGGAACTTGAAAATTTTTCTTATGCTTTAATAAAAAGGCATTTGTCTCTCATCGGTGGTGGAAAGAAAAATAGAGAGTTTAAATATAGAAACACTCCTATTATTTGTTAAAATGGTTGAAAAGATGGACACCCTAGCGCCGTTGTCGTCGCTTGCTTGGCTTCAGCTACAGTTTTAATTATTTAAATTAAATGGCCAAAACTGTCACACCCCGAGCTATCCCCAAGACTCGTACACGGGACCAAGGACCACAAGTGATCCCAAGCTAACCCTGCTGGCATGATCATGACCATACATAAAAATATAAACTGTTGAGGAAGCTAAATCATACTTAAAATGAAAAGTTGGGGAATACCCATATGCTTAAACTAAGACATATGAAAATTGAGGAGTTTAATACAAAGAAAATATTAACTCACTTCTAGGCTGAAACTAACTATGTCTGAAATAATCCTATATTTGACTAGAAATACGGAGACAAACCCCTGCTAAGTCTAGAAAAAACTGAAACTAAATGACAAAAATACTGAAATGAACTCATGTCTATTGTCTTTGAAGAATGAGGGCTCAACACTGAATCTGCAGAACTGGGGATCGATAATCGATCTATGTGTGATCTGGATGCTGAGAATCTGAACCTACATCACGAGAAGTTGTAGCACAAGTATGCATCAATACTTTAAGGTACTGAGCATGTAGGATAGAGTAAAGATGAAATAAAACATAATGGAACAAGCACAAAAGCAATTATAATAATTTGAACATGATATACTGAATGCAATGACCAATTTATAACATGCTGGAACTGAATACTGAATATAATGATAAATGGTCAATGCAATAGAGTCTGACTGAACTGTGGGAGCTACTAATAACTGATAATAAAACCACATGATCTAAATATGGAGTCCGATATATACACCCAATGAGAGGACCCAATATACCTTGCCAGAGGTATAAAGGCATGCTGGCGTGATCACTAAACTGATTGCCCACAAAGGGAACTTACAACCTAACCCAAGTCCAACTCGATATTATGATACTCCCAATGAAATATGTACTTAATTGATTATGAATGAGTTTATGTAAATATTGGATAACTCAAAATTGAACATGCAACAACTAATCTGGTAATTATGCATTTATAACTAAGGCATCTATATCGGAAGTAACTGAAATATCTGACCTAGCATGAGTAATTAAGGATCTAAAGAAATACGTAGTTAGGATTTTGAAATTCAAGCGATAAACTGAATAATAACTTAACAATTTAATTTGGAACATATATTTAACTAATTTATGATGATATGTTGTAGATATAGAAACCCTAGGTTTAATAATGATAATAGAATCATGAACTGATTGAAAACTAGGACCCAATGGGTGAAAGGAAGCCACTATTGAAATCCCACATACCTAGTGATGAAATTCACGGAGAAACACTTAGATTTTGGGGTTTGAACTGCTGGAACCTTGTTGCGTTCTTGAACTAGGGTTCCTGACCTTTTTCTCCTTTATTGCTTCTAATGTTCTAAGTTTTGATTAATGATTTGACTTAGGTAAGTTTTAGTTATGTTTCTAGATCTGATTAGGATCAAAATGACATATCTTAGGATTTAAATGAAGTGGGAAAAGACCAAAAGACCCCTGAGTTAATTGATGTCGAATCAAGTGACAACCAGGACTGACGATCCGTCGTTTGGGTCCATAGGTTGGGTCTATTCAAGAGGCCTTTACTAAAACGATCATATCTTTTTACTCAGAGGTTTGATTTTAGCAAGATCAGTATATATGGAAAGCTAATTCAATTATCTATCTTTTGGTATATCATGGGACACCTAATTTATTTTGTGCTAAGAGTTATGACCATTTAAAGTCAACCTAACTGTATTTCCCCCCTAACTGTCTACTAATTTTAACCTATGGTCCAAAGGTCTATGTATGGACCGTACTGGTCAATCGTTATTCATGTCAGAGAGTGGGTAAATGGCGTGTTGACCGATAGACAAAGACTACGGATCGTAATATGACCTATAGACCATAGGTCCGTCTGTCGTTCGACACTTCGTCAAATTTTTCTAGGCTGGGATTTTTGGGGTTTCAAACTCAATCAACAGATGTGGAGGACGAATCGTGGGTCAGCCTATGGTCCGTCGATTGCACCGGCAGATTTTTTGAAAAACTGATTTTTGGTATGTTTTGAATAAATTGTGTTACATACGACCCGACTCGGATAATTGAGGGAATAATTTCCTTAAGGGACATTGTGAGTTTAGTGGACTTGCTCTTTTTCTGTTCGAATTTGTCTAGATTCTGGTACATTAAAGATTGTAATTCTTTAAAATTAATTTATGTTCATCTCTCGTTCTAATTCAGTAAATTTTGGTTACTTCGTATTTCTGCAAAGTTTTTTCAGAATCAGTAATGCTATTTTTTAAACACAAATTGGGCAACAATCTTAAGGAAATTATTTATTATTATCAATATGTGTTTCTAGTGAGACATAAATCTTTATGATTTTATGCTCCTTAAAGTCTGCAATTATATGTTATTACTTACTAAGGCTGTATCTATTTTTTTCATGAGAATTGGCAAACAACGGTGTTAGAGTGTTTGTTGCTGCACAAACTCAAACTGTTGTACCACAAGTAGAGAAACCGGATAATTTACTAGTGTAAATTTCAAAGGATGGCAGCAACGGGTATTTTTCTGGCCTACCGCTCTTTGTCTACAGAAAATTACCAGTGAGGAAACTCCAGTGCCTGCTGGTGATAAGCTAGACAGAAAAAATTCATGATTATTGAAGTATGGAAACAGGCAGACTTCCTACGTAAATGCTACATTTTGAGTTCTTTAGAGAATGACTTATATAATGTCTATAGTGCAATGATAACTTCAAAAGATTTATGGGATGCACTTGAGAAAAAAATATAAGATTGAAGATGCATGCTTAAAAAGTTTGTGGTCGCAAAGTTTTTGGACAAAAAAATGGTAGATAGTAAAACTGTTGGATCATAAGTGCAGGAACTTCAACTTATTCTCCATGATATGATTGCTGAATATATGGTAGTAAATGAAGTTTTTGAAATGCTGCAATGATTGAGAAGTTGCCTCTTTGTGAAACGAATTAAAGAATTATCTAAAGCACAAGTGTAAAGAAAAGAAGCTTGAAGATCTTGTGATTCGGCTCTAGATTGAGGAATATAACAAAACTGCTGAATAGAAGTCTCGTAAGAGTTCAACAATCATTGGAGTTAATATTGTTGAAGAAGCTCCTACCAAAGACAAAAAGAGAAAGAAGTCCAATGGGCAGAAGTCAGAACAGGCCAAGAACAAATTCAAAGGCAACTATTACAATGTGGTAAGGTTTGTCATAGGCCTTCTGATTGTTGTGCTCCAACAAAAGGACAAAGACAAAGGCAAAGCCAAAAGTCAAGAAAAAATCGTGGAAGATATGGAAGATACATATGACTTGTGTGCGATGATCTCTGAGCGTAACTTAGTCGGAAATCCTAAGGAGTGGTTTGTTGGCTCAGGTTCCACTCGACATATTTTATCTGCGAAAGAAACCTTTGCAACATACCCTCTTGCTTAGTACGATAAACATTTTTTCAGGGGAAACACAATAGCAAGGATTGCAGGAACTTGGAAAGTAATGTTAAAAATGACATTCAAAAAGGTGTTCACTTTGAACAGTGTTCTGCATGGCCCTACTATTAGGAAGAATTTAGTTTCTGCTACACTACTCGTTATGAATGGGTATAAGTAAGAATTACATATTCATAGGAAAGGACTACCTCAATGAGGGTGTTTTCATACTGAATGTAATGGTTGTTGACAATATTAATAAGAATTCTGGTACTGTTTACTTATTGGAGTCAAATGATTTTTGGCATATGCCCTTCTAGGACATGTAAATTACAAAGCCTTGCAAAAATTTGTTACTCTAGAAGTATTGCCTAATTTTAAACGCGATAAATCAAAATTGTAAATTTATGTGGAAAGTAAGTTTATTATACATCCTTATAAGTCTGTTGAAAGAAATTCCAAAACTTTAGACTTAATTCACACAAATATATGCGATATGAAATTGGCATCATCTCGTGGTGGAAAAAAGTATTTTATAACTTTTATTGATGATTGCATTCTATTATTATGTATATTTGCTTAATATTAAGGATGAAGCAATTGATGCATGTAAGCAATAAAAAATTTAAATGGAGAACCAATTGAATCTAAAGATAAAAATGATTCGAAGTGATATGAGTGGAGAATATGAATCTCCTTTTGCAGAGATATGTTTGGAATATGGTATTATTCATCAAACTATTGCACCCTATACACCATAGTCAAATGGTTTGGCAGAACGGAAGAACAGAACATTAAAGGAAATGATGAATGCCTTGATGATCAATTATATTTCACCGTGAAACCTTTGGGGGGAAGCTATCGTTACGGCTAATAAGATACTCAATAGAGTACCCAATCGAAAAACACAATCAATTTCATATGAGTTGTGGAAAGAAAGGAAATCCAACTTGAAATATTTCAAAGTGTGCGAGTGTTTAGCCAACGTAGAAGTTCTTATTCCAAAGAGGGTTAAAATTTGACCCAAAATAGTAGACTGTATATTTATTGGGTATGTTGTGAACAGTAAGGCCTTTGATTTTTGGTTCACAAATTTGATAATCCTGAGATTCATGTTAATACAATAATTGAGTCATATAACTTAGAGTTTTTGAAAACATTTGTCTGTAAAAAATTGAATACGAGTCGACAAATGAAAGACCTAAACGACAATGCAAAGAATCAACGGAAAATACACTATATAGTAAGGATTCTAGGTGTAGTACTCGCCAATGGAAACTTGCTTCTTTTGGACCAAATTTTGTGGAACTATTACTTGATAATGAGCCTCAGACATTTAAAGCAACTATGTCTTCGTATGAGTTAACTTGAAGAAGCAGTCAATAGTGAGAACGAATCAATTTTAAGTAACCACACTTGGGAATTGGCTGATCTTCCTCCAAGAAATAAACCTTTACGATCAAAGTGGATCTTTAAAAGGAAAATGAAACCTGATGGGACTATTGAAAAATAGAAGGCTAGACTGATAGTCAAAGGGCACAGAAAAAAGGAAGGTATGGACTACTTTGACATATACTCTCCAGTAACAAGGATAACATCAATTAGGATGTTAATAGCACTAGCAACAGTGCATGATCTTAAAATCCACCAAATAGATGTAAAGACAGCTTTCTTAAATTGAGAGTTGGAGGAAGAAATTTATATGGAACAACTTGAAGGGTTTGTAGTTCCTAGTAAAGAAGAGAAAGTGTGCAGACTTGTGAAGCCACTTTATGGGCTCAATAAAGCACCCAAACAATGGCATGCTAAATTTGACCAAACAATGTTGACAAATAGATTTAAGATTAACGAATGTGATAAACGTGTTTACATTAAAAACGTTATGAATCATGAAGTCATTGTTTGTTCACATGTTGATGACATGTTAATAATGAGTAAATCCATTGACAATATAAATGATACTAAGCACATGTTGTCCATCAAGTTCGATATGAAGGACTTAGAAGTTGTTGATTTGATCTTAAAGGTCAGGATTATAAAAACTACCCAG